CAGTGTTATTTATGACTCTTTTTTTTTGTTTTGTTTTGTTTTTTATCCTCACTCGAGGACATTTTCCCATTTTTTGTTCAGATAGAGCGGGAGGGAGAGAGAGGAAGAGAGAGAGAGAGAAACATCGATGTGAAGGGACACATCGAGTGGCTGCCACCCGCACGACCAACCACGGCCGGGGACAAACTGCAACCGAGATACATGCCCTTAGCGGGAACCGAACCCGGGTCTCTCTATACCGCAGGCCGATGCTGCAACTGCTGAGCCAAACCGGCCAGGGCTGTTGTTTTGTTTTTTGAAAATATAGCCCTGGACAGTTTGGCTCAGCGGTTAGAGCGTCGGCCTGCAGTCCGGAGAGACCCGGGTTCGGTTCCCGCTAAGGGCATGTGCCTCGGTTGCAGTTTGTTCCCGGCCCTGGTTGGGTCGTGTGGGTGGCAACCACTCGATGTGTCCCTTTCACGTCGATGTTTCTCTCTCACTCTCCCTCCCACTCTATCTGAACAAAATATCAAAAAAAAAAATGTCCTCAAGTGAGGACTAAAAATAAAATATATATGAGCCCTGGCCAGTTTGGCTCAGCGGTTAGAACGTCGGCCTGCGGTCCGGAGAGACCCGGGTTCGGTTCCCGCTAAGGGCATGTGCCTCGGTTGCAGTTTGTCCCGGGCCCTGGTTGGTCGTGCGGGTGGCGACCACTCGATGTGTCCCTTTCACATCGATGTGTCCCTCTCTCTCTCTTCCTCTCTCTCCCTCCCACTCTGTCTGTACAAAAAATGGGAAAATGTCCTCGGATGAGGATTTAAAAAAAAAAAAAGAAAAGAAAATATATATGATATGCCTTGTAAATATATTAAATGTCTTTGAAATGACATAAATACTATAACTTTGGTTACATGTAAAAGAACTGAATGTTTGGGTGATAAAGAAAAGCTTGTTTCTGTAGCTTTTGGACTTTTAACTGTCATTTATATGATTATTAACCATCTAAAACAAATCAATTTAAAAGATCATGTCCATACATAAAAAATTTTAAATTATTGATTTGGAAAACCTCTCAAGATTTCTTCCAAACTTCAGATTTGTGTGCCATTCCAAAATTTCACAGGTCAATAAAAATAAATTATATTCTGCCCAGTCACTGTGGCTCAGTGGCTGAGCGTGACCCATGCACCAAGAGGTCCTGGTCGGGGCACATGCCCAGGTTGTGGGCCCGATCTCCAGTGGGGGACATGCAGGAGGCGGCCAATCGATGTTCTCTCTCATCGATGTTTCTATCTCTCTCCCTCTCCCTTCCTCGCTCTCTAAAATCAATAAAGAAAACAAAATTTTTTAAGAAATCATATTCTTATCTTTATTCCTTTTGCACAATAAATACTTCATAAATAATTGTTCCTTGAATTAATAGACTGTTTTCTCATTCCAGCACAGGATCCCGTTCTCCTCAACTAAGAGTTCAGCCACCTGACGACCTACCCCACACAGCTATTCAATCTCTGCAAGAGAAGATATATTCCTGGCAGGTTATATTTTGAAATGTAATATAAGCAGTAGATATTTATTGTGCTGGAATAATCATTTTTTCCTAGAAGATGCTATCATAATAAATAGTACGAGAATTTAGCTGCCTTCTAGGGCTCTTCAACTCATCTGGTTTAGGAGCTAGGACATGTTTATATGAAAAATAATGCCCATGCTGGGAAGGATATTATAGATGCCAAATAAGTAGCACAAGTAAGCAATCCCTCAAGAAATTCAGGAGGAAAATCACATTTACTAGGGTAATCAGAAAAGATGTCAAAAGAGAAATGGAATCTGAGTTAGGCTTGATGTATGATCCAGTTTCAATAGGCAGGGGAGTGCACAGTAAGGGATGGTTTGGGAACAAGGGAGCAGGCCAGTCTGGACAAATGGAGCCTGCAGGTGGCGGAAGTGCTCCTAGCTCCTGGAGGCCTATGTAATCAGTCCCTGAGCCTGCATCCTTCCAATGCCCTGGATTAATTTTGATCCTTCCTAATATCTCCCAGAGTCGTCATTTCTTCTCCATTCTCACCACCTCAAAGCAATCCAAGCTCTCATTCCCTCCCTCTGGATAGCTCTCCAAACTCATCCTCCTGTCTCCCATCTCCCCGATTTCCAATCCACAGTGCAAAACTCGTGACATTACTTTATATGCATAACCAAGTCACCCCAAACCCATCAATGGCTAACCACGACTTGCAAAATAAAACTATTCTCCCTCTCATTCGAGGCCTTTTAACATCTCTCTATCCACCTCTCACTCCCTCACTGGATTCACACCCACTAAATATACTATACAAATTTCAAGTCTGTGCCCATGTCATTTCTTTTACCTGAAAATTTCTCCTTATTTTGTTTCCAGGTGGGATACACATGGTTGTACAGGCTGCAAACACCTCCTGGCAGTGTTGGGCAATGTACAACTTCTGCAACTTTCCAAAGATGGCTTGTTTCCTCCATCCTCCCAAACCTTGAAGGCCTTCTCAAAACAACTCAACTCAACTGTTGATCAATTCCCTGATTCCTACATCACCAACTTGACATCTTTTCATTAAAAAAAAAAAAGAAAATTTAGTCCAGCCGGTGTGGCTCAGTGGTTGAGCGTCGACCCATGCACCAAGAGGTCACCAGTTCAATTCCCGGTCAGGACACATGCCCAGGTTGTAGGCCTGATCCCCAGTAGGGGGCATGCAGAAGGCTGCCAATTGATGTTCTCTCTCATCGATGTTTCTCTCTCTCCCTCTCACTTCCTCCCTCTGTAAAATAAATAAAGGAAAAAAAATTTTTTTTAAATTTACAGTACTTGAGACACCAACAGTGCCTTGAACACAGCAGATACTCAAAAGATGCTTGCAAATTACAATGGGCAAAGTCAAAAAAGGCTAATTGTGGCATAAAGAGCCTTGAAGGCCAAGACAGAAGTTTTGACTTTATTTGGTAGATGCCAAGTATAATAATCAGTGATCAGAATGATGTTTTAGAAAGACGAGGTTCAGCAACTATAAGCAAGCAGGGTTGAAAGATTATACTAGAAGTGCCAGCTTAGGGCCCTCTCCAGTGGGAGGCCTGTGGGAGGCTCTCTCTGTAATGTGCACCCTCCTCAGTCCAGTCATCCTTCAGTTTATCTGTTTGGGATTACAGATATTGATTTTCGTATACCTACCATGAGAGTGAAGCTTAAAACTAGGCCATTAAGCCAAGAAAAGGATGCTTTTGCCTGAAATATCTGCGTATCTAGGAAACAGTTCTGACTTGAATAATTATATACATACATAAAATACATATACACAAATTAAGCATTACTCTTATCTTCTTCATTTACTTCTTTTGTAGTCTTCCTCTTTTCCATCTGTCTCTTCCCTTTTCAGTCTTCTCTCTTTCTCTGTCTCTCTCTCCCTTTCTCTTTACCTCTCCCTCTCCCTCTCATTATTATTCTTGTCTCCTATTTCTTCCCAAATGCTTTACATTAAAGATCTCCAGACTGCCCTCCCCTTCTCCAAAAACCCCCTCATCCCCCAAAATTTTTATTCAGCTTATATTTTTTTTGCTTATGTACTGATTTAGCCAACTCCTCTAAATATTTGTATTAATAACTCAATTCTCCTGCTTCCTTTGCTAATGTAACTTAAACCGTCACTAACCTTAGAATTATACAATTACTAGTGAATTATTTCAAGACCAATCATTTTCTTAAGGCCCTCTAAAAGAATCAAGGGCACTTATGTATTTAGGTATATAAATTAATTTCACTGTACTGTTGAAGTACCAAATAAATAATTCTTATTGGTAAATTGAAAACTTGGAACCTAATACATTAAACAAAATTAGTTTTCTAATTAATTTCCTTCCAAAGCATGTATCTTGGATTTCATGTCAAAATGGCATATCAGTAATAGACTCCATGGTACTAGACAGTTTTATTTACTTCTTAGATTTATATTTTTAAAAGTCTTTACTCTCCAAAGGAAGATTATGTAGAAGACACCCACTGCAATATCAAGGCAAATAAATAACACCATTAGAAACATGTACATGCCTATCAGGAAAAGATTAACCGGCACAACCTAATTTTAAAAATGAATGAAGGGGAATCTTAAAACAAGTATCAAAGGTAAAACAAAATATGCAATTTTGTATTTGTACCCAAACAGGCATTCTCCCTTGAAAGTCCAACTTTACTCAGGTAAGACTGATCTAAAGAAATATTTCAATATTTTCCTTTCATCCTAGTAAAGTGAAAAAAATTTAACTACTCAAATACTGTTTCTGGATTTAGGACAGTTTAGATGTTTCTCCTCTCCCAAAGTAATGGTTTATTCCCTCCCCATACTGAAGATCCCTCTGAATGTCACAGTGTGAATCTTTGGTACCAATTGGTGGGCAGGTGCTTTGTTAACTCCATATTTTGTAGGAAAGAAGGAGAGAAAAGAGCACAGGCATCTATTATTTAGAATCTATCGTTAAGTTATTCTCCTTTATAACATAACAATTTCATTACAGTGCATATTATGCACAGTGTATAGAATGTGTGGACAGCGTCTAGCAGACCACATTCATAATAACAAGACTTTGTCTTTTCAAACACCACCAAAAATTGGCAAATAATTCAAACTGCTCTTAGCTTAATTTTAAATCGTTTAATACTACCAATAAAAGTTTAGAGAAAGCTAATTAACCAGCTGTTGATTGCTCAACAGTAAACTACAAAGATGGGAGGCTTGTCTTTATCTGCCCCTCCCCATGCCAGGTAACTCGCCCACGAGAGGGCTGTCTACTGTATGGACCACAGCCGGCTTGTGCCCGGGAAATAGTGGTGGGGAGTGAGGACCAACCCGTCCCTTGCTGGCCGCGCCTGAGGTTTCGCTGGGCCCCAAACCTTGTCTGGCTCGGCCGCCAGAGGCATACTGGACAGAGACGCGACCCACGAACGGGACGGACAGACGTGACAGGACGGACGCGACGGGGAAAGAAGCAGTGCGTCCTACCCGGAGGGCTCCCTCCCAGGGACGGCGGAGTACCTGCTCCGGTCATCCAGGCTGCGGTTGTCGGCCGCTGCAGCGCGCCAGTCGGGCAGTGTGCTAGCGCACAACACCACCATGGACACGATCACGAACACCACCGACACGCTGGCCAGGATCTGTGCGGCCAGCGACGACGTGGGTTCTTCGAAGGTGCGCCGCATGCGCTCCAGCCAGCGCCTGGAGGGGGCTGCCTCGGCATCCCCGGGGCGCGCCTCGTCACGGCCCTGCGCGCCCAGCTCGTCGGCGGAGTAGAAGGTGTAGGTGTCCGACATGCGGTCGTCGAGGCGGCGCTGGCAGCAGTACTCGAGGTGTGCACCCTCCAGGCCCCAGTAGATCATCTCGTTGTAGAAGGAGAGCTCGCACATCCGCGGCGCAAAGCGCAGCTTGCCGTGGCCGCGCACGTAGAGCAGGATGAAGCCGAAGGCCTCCGAGTGCCGGTCGAAGAAGTACTCGTTGCGCTCCCGGTCGTAGTCGTCGCACACCTCGAGCACGTCGCGCTCCGAGCGGCAGCCGTGCAGCCGGCTCACACGGCGCAGAGGGAAGTCCTTCAGCAGATCCCGGGACAACGAGTACCGAGCGCCGCCCACGTTCAGCACCACCGAGGCCGCCCCGCTGCGCCCGAAGGTCATGGCTGGCCGCCCCGAGACCCCGAGGCCCGAGGGCGCCGCCACCGCCCCCTAACCGCCGCGCAGGGTCTGCCTGACGCTGGCCGATCCTGGAGCGCGCCGTCGGGGCCCGCGGGCTGTCTGGCCCACTCCGCCTCGGGGCTCCGTTTCAGCCCTTCGCTGAGGTGGGGATCCCTCGGCTCTAGCCTCCTCGGCTGCCCAGCGTCGCTCCTAGAGACACTCCCTCCGCGCAGCGGTACCTGCAGGTGTCCAGGGAGTCCCCTTCGGCGCCAGCTCTGCGCCCCACTGGCGGAGACCGAGGCTGGGCGCCACCGCCCCTCTGGCCCGGGGGATGTCCCCCCTCTGAGGCCGGGGTATCCTCTTCAAGGTGGGGTCGCTTTCCCACCTGAGGGGCGCGGGCGCCGAGAGGGGAAACTGGTGCGGGATGGCTCCTGGTCCCCGGCACTCCCTCCGGCCGTGGATGTGGCAACCGCCTCGCCGCCGTCCAGAAGCAAGAAGCAAAGTGAGCGGTTTCGGAGGCGACGAGGAGCCGGCTCGGAGAGGCGGGGGCGGGGCCTCCTCGCCTCCCGGCTCCTCTCGGCTCACCTCCCGAAGCGCGCCGCCCTCCTCTTCCCACCCGAGCCCGCACCTCCCGGGCTCGCTCGGGCTGGGATTCCCCGGCGCCCCGCCCTGGACCTCGGGCTCCCCGCCTCGTGACGCCGTCCTTCCCCTCCGCTCCCGCAGTGGCCAGGAGGGGTCCGCGGGGCAGGGAGGTGAGGAGCGGGGAGCCAAGCCCCACGACCGGGATACTTGCTCCCGCGTCCCACCCCAGGCCATTGTGATCCCTTGGACAGTCCCCAAAGGCCCCTTAACAGCCCCCAAAGGGAGGCGACAGTATGGTAAGGATGGGTGAGGAATAGGGTGCGGGGTTTGAGGGGCGGGGACAGACAGCGTTTGGAGAGCTTTTTCTAGAAACTATCCAGAACCCAGCTCGGTTTCTGAGACCGCCCAAAGGATTTTTCAGAGAAGGCACCTCAGCAACTGCTCTTCTTGCCGACTTTGCTGTTTCTCTCCCGGCGCGGAGATTACATACCGTGTGCTCCGAAGGCGGTCACACACCCCAACACCCTAGAGCGGAGGAGAGCGGCCCTAGCCCCCGCTTTGGGGGGGCACCGGTCCTAAGAGGGCGCCTACGTGCAGTGCCTGGACCCCATCGTGACTCTTCCTGTAGAGTGGGGTGAAAAGTCTGGGGAGAATCGCCTTGGCACTGGCGAGAACAGAATTGTGTGTTGCCTTCCTTTGCACCCTCCTTTTGATAAAGTCTTGATTGCCCCCTTGCATCCCCAAGCTGGCCGCAGCACGGGTCTTCGGAGCCTTAAGAGCCTCTTAAGATTCTGCAGAGCACACTGCCCTGTGCTCAACCCTGGTCAATGCCCAGGCATTGGGTTCCACTTGGCAGGGATTATTTTAAACTGCTACCAGCAATTCAAACGACAGTCTGACACCGGCAGCCCAGCCCGCGCAGAGGTGAAACAGGTGAGTCGAAGAAAAACTGAGAGGAAAAATAAGGGTGGAGCTGGGTGGGACGCAGTCATCTGACCTGAGAGTAACCCATCTGGTTACTAGAAAGGGTTTTACTTTGCCCTTTACTTTTCATAATTTTGTAGGATTGTCTTGTGCCCACTAGAGGTCACCAAAAAGAATCATTTTGCTCTAGGTCCAGTATGGATTCCTAGCAAAACAGCAGACACCTGAAAATTGGAGTGCTCTCTAACTAAAAAAAAATCACTGGGTGGTTTCTTTCTTTTTTTTTTAAATTGGATGTATTGGGATGACGTAGGTTAAGAAAACCATACAGGTTTCAAGTGTACAACTCAATAACACATCAGCTGCTTACTGCATCCTGAGCTCATCACCCAAAGTCAAGTCTTTCCACCATTATCCCCCCTTTGCTCTCTTCTACATCCCCATATCCTCCCTCTTTCCCTCTGTTGTCTGTGTCTGTGTTTTTTTTTCTTTTCTTTCCTTTCCTTTTCTATTCTTTTCTTTTTCTTTATTTTTATTTTATTTTTTCTTTTCTTTAATCCCTCACCTTTTTCACCCAGCCCCCAAACATCCCTCCCCTCTGACAGTGGTCAGTCTGTTCTGTGTATCTATGATTGTTTCTATTTTGTTTGACTGGGTGGCTTCTTTTCTTCTTCTTCTTCTTTTTTTTTTTTTTTAGTTTCTTGTGAGTGGTTTGTTTTTTATTTTATTGTATTTATTTTTGTTATAACTGTTTCTCCTTTTTACCCCATTAAGACCCTCCTCCCCATCCCATCTCCCCCCACCCCCACCCCACATTGTTGTCTATGGTCATTGGTTATGCATATATGCATATAAGTTCTGTGGTTTATCTCTTCCCTTCTCCACCCACCCCACTCTTCTGAGGTTTGTCAGTCTGTACCCCACTTCCATGTCTCTGGGTCTATTTTGTTCACCAGCTTATTTTGTTCATTATAGTCTACAAATAAGTGAGATTATGTGATATTTGTCTCTCTCTGATTGGCTTATTCTGCTCAGCCTAATACTCTTCAGGTCCCTCCATGTCATCTCAAAGGATAAGAGGTCTTTCTTTCTTACAGCTGCATAGTATTCCGAGATAGATACAGATATATAGATATAGATATAGATATAGATAGATATAGATATATAGATATATATCACAGCTCTTTTTTATCCACTCATCTATTGATGGACACTTGGGCTATTTCCAGATCTTAGCTATTGTAAATAGTACTGCTATGAACATAGGGGTACATGTATTCTTTCTGATTGGTGTTTCAGGCTTCTTAGGATATATTCCTAGAAGTAGGATCACTGGGTCAAATGGCAGTTCAATTTTTAATTTTTTTGAGGAAACATCATATTGTTTTCCATAGTGGCTGCACCAGTCTGCATTCCCACCAGCAGTGTGCTAGAGTCTCCTTTTCTCTACACCCTCGCCAGCACTTATTAATATGGTGATTTGGTGATGGTAGCCATTCTGGTAGGTGTGAGATGATACCTCATAGTCATTTTAATTTGCATCTTCTGATGGTTAGTGACTTCGAGCATTTTTTCATATGTCTCTTGGCCATTCTTATGTCCTGTTTGAAGAGGTGTCTATTTAGATCCTCTGCCCATTTTTTAATTGGATTTTTATCTTCCTTTTGTTGAGTTGTATGAATATATATTTTGGAGATTAACCCCTTATCTGATGTATGGTTGACAATTATGCTCTCCCATATCATGGATTCCCTTTCCATTTTGATGTTTGTTTCTTTTGATGTGCAGAAGCTTTTTAGTTTGATGTAGTCAGTGGGTGGTTTCTTAAAGAATGAAAATCTATAAACTGTTTACCCCTGGATAATTTATGTTAAAAGCATTTAATATGATTAAAGACTCAAAAGCGGGTGTTATTTATTTGCTAAGTAGCTACTAAACCAGGCAAACATCCTGAAGGAAGTGAATTTCAAGATAGAATTGAAGGAGGTGGTGATCATAAACTGGCTTAGAGAAAGAACAGAGTATTCCAAGGACAAAACTCTCAGATGTGAAGGATGAAAGTCTGAAGAAAGTGAATGAATGCATTTGCTTGGCTGAAAGGATGGGGATCTCAACTGCAGTATTTAGATTTTATACTGTAAGCAATTGGACCCCAGAAGGTTTTAATAATAGAAATGGCTTGATGAAAGCTTTATTTCAGGAGTATTCCTTTGCCTTTGGATTATTTTAAGGAGAAGTCCATTTCCACAACCCAGGAATGAGAACCCTACCCCCAGGTCTTTGTCGATGAGAAAACAAACACTGAGGCCAAGGGCTCTGCAGAGCTTGGGAATGGATTTGTTATAGGATAAGAGGATGGATAAAAGTTTGCAGGTATGAGTCAAGAGAAGAGCCTGGCTCCAAGAGCCAATCCTCAAGGAGCTGTTAAAAATACTGTCTAGAAGCATCACAAGCCTCAGAACACAGACCAACTATTTTTTTATTATTTGCTCTACCATTACTGTATTTACTTCCTGTGTTCTCCATCTAAAATTCCTTTCAAGTCTGTTGATTGAACCAGTTAAAGAAATATCACATTTCAAATTAAATTTGAGCTCGGAAAACAAATTGATGTGATGGCAATAAAATTTGTGCCTCCTAGATATATTTTCATAAAATTTCTTAGAGATGTGTTCAAATCATTTCATTTGTTTCAAGAGTAATATTCCTATTTGATTCATCAACCACTGCTATAGCAGCAATACCCAAATAATTTTCTTTTTTTTTTATCCTCACCCGAGGATATTTTTCCATTTTTTGTACAGATAGAGTGGGAGGGAGAGAGAGGAAGGGAGAGAGAGAGGGAAACATCGATGTGAAAGGAACACATCGAGTGGCTGCCACCAGCATGACCAACCAGGGCCGGGGACAAACTGCAACCAAAGTACGTGCCCTTAACGGGAACCGAACCCTGGTCTCTCCGGACCGCAGGCCGACGCTCTAACCGCTGAGCCAAACTGGCCAGGGCCCAAATAATTTTCTTAAACAAACAAACAAACAAAACAGAAATATGCAGAAACAATTGGCCTGTTTTGTTTAGAAAGTATTCTTTTTTAAAAAATATTTTTTCTTTTTTATTGATTTTACAGAGAGAGGGAGAGAGAAACATTGATGAGAGAGAATATCTATTGGCCGCCTCGTGCATGCCCCCCACCGGTGATCAGTCCCACAACCTGGGCATGTGTCCTGACTGGGAATCGAACCTGCGGCCTCTTGGTGCATGAGTCGATGCTCAAACACTGAGCCACACCAGCTGGACTAGAAAGCATTCTTAAAAACAATTCTAGCCCTGGCCGGTTTGGTTCAGTGGTCAGAGCGTCAGCCTGTGGTCCAGGGAGACCCGGGTTCAGTTCCCGTTAAGGGCATGTACCTCGGTTGCAGTTTGTCCCCGGCCCTGGTTGGGTAGTGAGTGTCCCTTTCACGTTGATGTTTCTCCCTCGCTCTCGCTCGCTCTCTCTCTCTTTCTCTCCCTCCCACTCTATCTGAACAAAAAATGGAAAAATGTCCTCAGGTAAGGATAAAAAAAACAAACAATTCTACTCTTGTCCAACCGGTGTGGCTCAGTCCATGGACTGAGAGATCCTGGTTCAATTCCCGGTCAGGGCACATGCCTGGGTTTCCAGCCCAATCCCCAGGAGGGGGCGTGTAGGAGGCAGACTCTCTCACACCAATGTTTCTATCTGTCTCTCTCAAAAATCAATAAAAACATATTTAAAAATAAAACAAACTATTCTACTCTTTTTTACTTTGAAAAGAAGACTGTGTTAAGAAGTATGACATCGCCCTGGCCGGTTTTGCTCAGTGGTTAGAGCATTGGCCTGCGGTCCAGAGAGACCTGGGTTCGGTTCCCACTAAAGGTGAGTCCCTCAGTTGCAGTTTGTCCCTGGCCCTGGTTGGTCGTGCGGGTGGCAGCCACTCGATGTGTCCCTTTCACGTCAATGTTTCTCTCTCTCTCTCTGTTCCTCTCTCTCCCTCCCACTCTATTAAAAAAAAGAAGAAGAAGAAGAAGAAGTATGACATCTAGCCCAGCCGGTGTGTTCCACTAGTTGACCATCAA